CTTCTTCGTCAGAGGAGGCTTCAAGGAGAGTTCTTCAGACATTTTATATACATTTAAATTTTGTTTTTTTCCCCCTCTCTCCATTAGACTTCCCAGTCTCTCTTACATTTTTTTTGTCCTTCAGTGAAGAGTTGGCTTATCTAAGAGTTTGCGACTGTATCATTTAGAAACACACAAAAATTACTATTAAACAGAAGGCCAGTTTCTGTCTATGATATATCATTCAACCAGCTTAGCAGGTTAATTGACAATTTACTTAATAAAAAAAAAGAGCTAAAATAACTGTGGCTGGAGCACCATTTATTATTTATTTACAGCATTTCTATCCTCTGGCTCAAAGACTGCAGGTGGGCAACCTTTAAATACAACTCATGAAATAATCATGCTAGCATAACTATTACAATAGTGATATAAAAATAAGGAAAAGGTAAAAATATATATTTGATTCACATATATTTTTCCTTTGTTCTGACTCTTGAAATCTAGTCATTATTAAGGTTCTATCTACAAGATTTGGGGAGAGGAAGGGAAGGGAAGGGAAGGGAAGGGGAAGGAAGGAAGGAAGGAAGGAAGGAAGGAAGGAAGGAAGGAAGGAAGGAAGGAAGGAAAGATCCTAAAAGAGGGAGGGAGAAGAGGGAAAGAAAAAGGAAAAGGAAAAGAAAAAGGAAAGGATGTGTTGATAATGCAGTAAATGGAAGGTTGAAAAAATAAAAATTAATACTGGAGGATGATTATATTTTGAATCCTTTTACACATCTGCATCTCACTTATCTATACATTTTTAGCAACAAACATTGCATCTGGACTCAAATTTCCTAACAGAAATGAGATCAGCCTTCAGATCAGCACAGAATGTCCAGTTTTTTCCTTTCACCTCAAGCTGCAGCCTTTTTCTGTTTTTCTTATCCCAAATAAAATCACACTTCAGTGTAGATTCAGGCATCTCTCCTTCTGTTCACCAATGTTCAAAGCTGCCAATGCCTATTAATTCCAGTCAGTATCTTTTATAATCAGGGCCTGAAGAGTGAATGCAAGCTGTTGAATTGCTAAAATACACAAGTGAGAGAAAAGGATTATTCTGAGATTTTTTTTTCCATATGGCAAGATATTCCTTGGCATTAAGTTTTCAGACCAGCCTAGCCAAATTCTGGCCAGGATCTATTGTAAGACTCAAAGTTAACAATTGGAATTGTCTTCTCATAAACAGGAGCTGAATTGGTGAGATTCTACTATTAGCTTATTATTAGATTAGCTCCTGCAGCATGTTCAGATCTTAATCTGAAGACTCAATCAATCAAACCATGAAGACTCAATCAATCAAACCATGAAGACTCAGTCAATCAGTCTGAAGACTTGACAGAGACAGGTCCCATCTTGTTACAAACGGGATGATGCTGAACATGTACAGAGGAATTCTCATCGCTTCATGGGTATATCTATCCAAGATTTGGTTCATCCTACAAGAGAAGTATGTTCTTCTTGACTTTATGTTGGGTTTTTCTCGTTTTATTTTATTTTTTGCATTCCATGCTGCACTTGCCAACCCTCTCTTCCATCACTTCCATAATGTCCTCTTTTGACAGCAAATACAGTCTTTGGCATAATCAAAAGAACAGCCTCAAAGGTATTATCAGGACAGCAAGTTGCTTTTCCAATGAGGCTGTTTCTACGGAAACCACCGTTTCTAATTATGGTGGGCCTTTCTGACAGCCTCTGCAAAATGACACATCACTTTGGAGGTGTGCATCATGCTGCACACATTCTCGGCAGCTTCTCTTGTTAGTGCTCAGTTACGAGTGTCCACAACAATTTTTGGGCGAGGCTCTTGATATGATGATGATGATGATGCTATTTGTACAAATATTTCCTGATAGAACTTTAGCTGTACCTGCTAAATATGTAAATGCAAGTAGTTCTCCATGCATTACAACCAGAAGTCTGAGGGATCAAATGGGAATATGGGCTAGGAAATTCCAAATTCCAGTAAAAAAAAACCACAGTAAATATGTCAACTTGGTTTTAAATCCCATGAGTTCGTTGCAGTTTGCTTGGAACTAAATGGCTGAAAGAGTGTATTCTGAAATCAAACTTATACGAGCATAAATTCCTTGAGCAAATCCATCCCGCTGTATTAAAAAAAAAAAAGGATCTTTCTGAGCTGAAAAAGCAGACACAGAATCCAAGCAAATATGGGAATGCATTTTCCTATGCAAAGCAGTCATTCTTTTGGTCTTCCATCTTTGCCATTCATTTGGCAAGTCATTTTCTTATAATCATTCTTACCTAAATCAGATATTAAAATGTATAAGCAATTACAAAAATAAAGAAGATTAATTGCAAAAGCAATTATAAAAGCAGCTGGGTGAACAATTACTGAATCTTGCATAATTAGATCAGTAGCTCACAGCAAATAAATCAGATTTTTTCAGGCCCTAGCCTTTCTCTTCTGGATTGGTGCAATGGGTCCCAAGTTACAATAATTCTTCTGCATTTTGTAGCCTTCTGACTTGGGCAACTAATCAAACCATAATTGGCTATTTACCTGACAAGCCAAGCAAATTATTCGAGCTGCACAGCACTACCACAGTTTGATTTATTATCCTGAATGTGGAGGCATGTCTCTTGAGATATTTGGATGCATAATAAGATGTTCATCAGCTCACAATTATCCAATCCTTTCTAATACTTCATCAGAATTACCTGGAACCGAGGACAACCACCAATCCCTATTTGACAAAGCTGAGTATAGCTTATGAAACTTGGCTCACAAACCACACAATCAGCCACAATGTGCCTGGTTAGTTACGCTGTCTGTATGTCAATGGGGATTCTCAGTCATCCAGACTGTGGTTGTCCCAAAGGTGCTTTTCAAAAGACAACCGGACCTTCTCGTTTTTTTTCCTGAAGACGTTTTGCTTCTCATCTAAGAAGCTTCTTCAGTTTTGGCTGAATAGTGGGGTATTCAGCCAGAGGTGGCGCAGCACTTAGAGTGCAGTACTGCAGGCCACTTTAGCTGACTGTGTTCAGCAGGTCAGCGGTTCAAATCTCACCGGCTCAAGGTTGACTCAGCCTTCCATCCTTCCGGGGTAGATAAAATGAGGACCCAGATTGCTGGGGGCAATGTAAATATATATATATACATTGCTTACTGGTGTATACCGCTTAGAGAGTGCTTGCACTTAAAGCGGTATATAAGTTTCATAAATAAATAAATAAGTAAATAAGTAATGGAAGGATTTATATTCTTTATAGTCCTGGTTGCTAGCACTCTCAAGGTTAGTCATTAGTTCTTTGTCACTCTGCAGTTCTGTTTGCTGTTTGTAGCTCTATAGCCTGTGGCTTGTAAACATTCTATAATGGTCTCAGAGCTATAGGTGAATCTTCAAACCATGGCTGATGCTTTCACTGGTTCCATATCTTTGGCTTTGACAGGAATACAAATAATAGAAAAGCAGGCTTCTGTTAAGAAAGCTTGGTTCACCTTACAGAGCTCCCAAGAAGCTGTGTCTTGGGAAATAATTGGGTTGTGGAGGAGAAAGATGGAACTTGAGAAGATGTTATAATGATTCATGAAGGGATAGAAGAGGAAAGAGGATGAAATAACCTGGGGGCAGCCACTGTTGTTTCTATTTCTTTTGTTTGAAGGCTTTAGAAGTGATATCCCCAAAGTCCCAGAAGTTTAAGCTTCTTTATTTGAGGGAAAGGAAACTATGTGCATGTACAGCTATGTGAGGACAATCAATGTTACTACAATAAATCCTTTGAGTCTATCAATAGAAAACACAAAGCTACTCCAAGCATGGAAATAAGAGCAGGAAACTACAAAATGGGCTGAAGCAAATGCTTTCCAGGTAAAGTCCCTAATCATGCCACAATAAATATTCTACTTAGAGAGGGTGGTGAACTCCAAACTCTGTAACTTCAAGACAGAGCTGTATCTTCATTCTGTCTTCATCTGAAAAACAATTACACCAACAAGATTCAAATAGCTACCTCCAGAATACTTTAACCCTCTTCAGCAATTCGCGTTTTCTGCAATCCAAAATGCAACGCCAGTAATTTACAAATTAAATAGGAGTGACATGATAGCAGTCTTCCAATATCTGAGGGGCTGTCACAAAGAGGAGGGGCCATCCTATTCTCTAAAGAGCCTGAAGGCAGGACAAGAAGCATGGATGGAAGCTAATCAAGGAGAGAAGCAACCTAGAACTAAGGAGAACTTTCTTGACAGTGAGAACAATTACTCAGTGGAACGACTTGCCTTCAGAAGTTGTGAACAGTCCAACACTGGAAGTTTTTAAGAAGAGACTGGGCGGCCATTTGTCTGAAATGGTGTAGGATTTCCTGCCTGAGGATGGGGTTGGACTAGAAGACCTCCAAGGTCCTTTCCAACGCTATTATTATTATGGATCATCACACAGTCAGCCAGATGTTCAGACTGGATTTGGCATTTTGTCTACCTATCGAGTCCTTACCCAGGACCTGGGATAGGCAGATGTGGATGTTTGATGGTATTACAGGTATCGTCACAGGATGGAAGCAGTTCCTAGCAAGGCTACCTTTTGCAATTGACTAATGGCAAATTTGTCAATACCAATGGTGTTCAAGTGGTGCTCCAGTTGTTCTGGGATTGCACCCAAGGTGCCTATGACTATTGGTACTACCCTTGCTTGCTTTTGCCACAGTCTTTCTATTTCTATTTGTAGGTCTTTGTATTTTGTTATCTTCTCCAGTTCTTTCTCTTCTATTCTGCTGTCTCCAGGCACTGCCACGTCCACTATCCAGACTTTTTTGTCTTTCTTATAGACAATTGTTAAGTCTGATATTATTATTATTACTATTATTATTATTATTATTATTAATTATTTCCCTAGTTTATGATTCCAAATAAAAATGAATTGTAGGGGAATATCCTTAATCTACTTCCTGGGTCTCTGAATGTGGTAATTTCCGTAGCCAGCAATTACCTTGTTTAACTCAGTTCATTCCATCTCTAACAGGCTATCGGTGAGCAGTTCCTCTTCCTCCTCCTCCTCTATGGGGGTGAACAGTAATGGAGCCGACACCTATTTTCATTCCACAAACCATGCCGAGCAAACGTTCCGCAAGATGGAGAACTACCTGCAGCAGAAGCAGCTCTGTGACGTTCTTCTGATTGCTGGAGAGCACAGGATCCCTGCTCACAGGTACCTATTTGGCCCATTCTTCCTATATCCCAGAGGAAACATCGACCGGCCTGGATCATATGGAATTCAGATTGTCATACAAGTTCTGGAAATGAATGAGATTCTGCAATCTCATAAGATCTGATTACTGTCACCTTCTGCCAGGCGCAAGAAACTAGACCCACATGTGAAAGGTTCAAATGAACCCTAACCCTAACCCTTTATTGTGTTCTGCCCATTGTACAAGAATCTCCTCTGAATGCTCTCCTTCCCTGTCTCGTCTCCTCCCCATCTCTCTCTCTCTCTCTCTCTCTCTCTCTCTCTCTCTCTCTCTCTCTCTCTCTCTCTCTCACACACACACACACACACACACCTCTCTATCTAACCTACCTATCTCTATCATCCATCCATCTGTCTGTCTGTCTGTCTTTCTGTGTCTGTCTATCTGTCTGTTTATCTATCTATCTATCTATCTATCTATCTATCTATCTATCTATCTATCTATCTATCTATTAATCTATCTGAAATTTATATAGCCACCCATCTCATCAAAGGCATCCATAGGTGGTGAACAAGAATATATGATGCTTTGTGCCATGAGATCAAAGAACATTGGAATTAATCTTATTATGGTGTTCTAAAATAAGAACTGTTAAGAACTGGAGACATACTTTAAAAGCCATTAGAAGCACAAAGAAAACCTATTTTGTCACCATATCATTGGCTTGCCTACCTTTCTGGCTATTGTAGAGAAATCGCAACTAATCCAGCTGACTCTTTTGAAATCTCTGTGCTATAAACCTGTTTGTGTAACTAGCTTCCCAAAGGGTAGCAAATGACCCAAATGTCATTTGCAAAATGAAAGCAGGCTCACAAACCATAATGTAAGTGTGCAAAGGCAATAATGGTTGGCTTTGGTAATTATGTCCATCAACTTCCAAACAGGAAGATTTTGAATATTTTGAATATTTAACCGGGTATCTTGTTTGCAAGGGGATTCCTCTTTGTCTGGAAAGCAAAATATTTCTCCAGAAAAAAAAATAAAATAAAAAATATGACTATTGATTCACTCTTTTCTGTAGACTTCAGGGATGTTGAACGCTGAGGATGGGTCAAGTAAGCAGAACTCCACTGACAATTCTTTTGACTGTTAAATGTTTTAAAGCAATACAAACTCTTCAAGAATGACAATGTATGCTTCCGGCAGTATCAAGAATGGATTGAAATGCTTACCGTTTCTTTTTTCTTTTGGGATCAGGCTGGTTCTGAGTGCCGTGTCTGACTATTTTGCGGCAATGTTCACCAATGATGTCCGCGAAGCAAAACAAGAGGAAGTCAAAATGGAAGGTGTAGATCCTGACGCACTGAAGGATCTTGTGCTCTATGCCTACACGGGTAAGTTCTCAACTAGCCTCCATAGCTTGCAGGTGTTCCCATGTGCCCTTCCTTAGAAGGGCATGGAGCCAAACATTTCTCCTGAACTTTCCCCATCCCCCTCCTCATCTTCTCACTTGATTTATTGGCAGAAAATCTGTTTTTCTAGGATCCAATCTGGGTCGGTCGATGGGACCAGAGGCTTCTTCTTCCAAGCTTTTAAACTCATGCTGGAGCCCATCCTCAGGGAATTTCTCTCTAGCAGACACAGGATAGGCCCCAGCACAAGTTCAAAAGCTTGGAAGACTAAACTCTGGTCCTGGCGACTGACCCAGATTGGATCTTGCAACATTATCCTGGGATACTATTCTTCTAGTTAAAAAAACAATAATTTAATGGAATTCTTTTGGGTGGGAAGCAGAGTTGTTATAAATTAAGGGAGTTTGTATGTTCCACCTTCCATTTCCCTAGCAACCTTCTTGAGGAGGCATGCTTTCATGAAGATGTTCACTAAACTTCAGCTAGTTGGGTTTGCAAACCATCTCCACTTGAAGCTCAAAAAACACAGCCCCAAAAATTCAAAAGCTGACATAGCTCGGCCCATCAGCTAGGATGAGCCAGACACATACATTCAGTAAATATTTGACACATCAAATCAAGTTGTTGGTTTAATACTGGGGGGGTCTTGACAGAATAAATGGATTTAGAAAGATGGTGAAAAATGTATTAATGATTTCATCAAGATTGCACAAACCAAGCTTAGCAGGCTGGGCAAATATTGCTGATTAAGAACGCTGTGCAAGCTTAGCCACTAATTTCCAAACTAGACTAAACCTAAGTTATCCCCACATCTCACAACTTTCCACACGTCTCAGGACAGAAGGCTTTTTTCAAAAAAATGTAATTCATTTTCTCATGCTCTTCCTTCCTCCCTCCCTCCCTCCCTCCCTCCCTCCCTCCCTTCTTTCTTTCTTTCTTTCTTTCTTTCTTTCTTTCTTTCTTTCTTTCTTTCTTTCTTTCTTTCTTTCTTTCTTTCAAACTGAATCACCTAGGCATGCTGGAGCTAAAAGAAGACACCATTGAGAGCTTGTTGGCTGCAGCTTGTCTTCTCCAACTGTCACAAGTGATTGAGGTCTGCTGCAATTTTCTCATGAAGCAACTTCATCCTTCAAACTGCTTGGGAATCCGGTCCTTTGGAGATGCTCAAGGGTGCTCACAACTCTTGCAAGTGGCCCATGTCTACACTATGGTAAGGATGGGAACTCAATCCCACACATTCACTGCTTGCAAATGCATTGTGCTGAGGGCTGCGTTGGAAATGGGCAGAAAAGATAAGAATAACAGATTAGCAGAGTTGGAAGGAACTTTGGACCTTGGACCTTCGGATGCAACCTCCTGTTCAGGCGGGAAAACCTGTACCATTTTCAGACAATTGGTCTCTTCTTACAATCTTCCAGTGTTGGAGCACCCACAATTTCTGGAGACAAGTCGTTCCACTGATTAATTGTTCTCACTGTCAGGAAGTTTCTCCTTAATTCCAAGTTGTTTCTCTCCTTGATTAGTTTTCATCCATTGCTTCTTGTCCTGCCTTGTTGTGCTTTGGAGAATAGCTTGACTCCCTCTTCTTTGTGACAACCCTTCAGATATTGGAACACTGCTATCATGTCATCGCTAGTCCTTCTTTTTATTAAACTAGACATTAAACGACATTTCTTTGTGGCTGCCCCTTAGATATTGGAAAAGGTTGGCTGAGCCAGGAGCAAACAGGTTCAGATGTTATCCAAGCTCAGAGACTCCAGCAAGAGATTTCCATTCCTCTTTAAAAGTTTTACTACTGATCTGGAGTCTTAACCATTTCCTGCTGGCTTCCACAGATAAAAATCACTTCCCATAAACAACCAGTGCTATTTTTGAAGTTTGCAACGATTCTTCCCTGGCTCCTTTTTTTAAAACATCACGAGAGGGCAGGAAGGTGTGAGGCCATCACCTCTTTTGTAACTCCCACCAAAGGCCCTTTTCTTGCATTTTTTTTTTAAAGAAAATGCATATTCAGCAAGTTGAGGCACTGAAGAAAACAGTGTTGTGCAGGGTCAACAGCTGCTAGCAAGCAACTGCCTTAACATGCAGGTAACCCAGAGAACTTTTCTTTTTATGAGTTCCCACTGCTAGCATTGCAACTCTATAAAAGAAAGGCTAGTGGACGACCCTTTTCTTAAGTTGCTTATAACTTCTGATTTAATGAACTATGAATCCAAAAATGTCAGGAAACTGGTATTTCTAAAGAGAAAACCAAAATTAGGCTACTTTTCCAAAACACCTGAGGACAAGACAAGAAGTAAAAGATGGAAACTTACCCAAACGAGATCCAATCTAGAACTAAGGAGAAATTTTGGAAGAGCCTTACCATGGGGAAAAAGCGGGAATATCTCTTGTAAGTCACTGTGATTTTTTTTAAGTGGTTGTATTTTTTTTTTAAAAAAATGACATTTAAATACCTTTTCTTTTATTGTCTTCTTAAGGAACACTTCACCGAAGTCGTAAAGAACCAGGAGTTCCTCCTACTTCCTGCTGCTGAAATTGCTAAGCTCCTTTCCAGTGATGATATTAATGTCCCAGATGAAGAATCAATCTTCAAGGCATTAATGATATGGGTTCGGCACGATTTAGACAATCGGCAACAAGATCTTGGAATGCTTCTGTCTTACATAAGGTTGCCCCTTCTTTCTCCAGAGGTAGGTTCCAAGTGGTGGACTATGAATATTGTCTGAATAGGTTCTGAGGCTGGAGAAGGTGGAAGGAAAGAGAAGAGGACAACCACCAGCAAGGTGGATGGGCTTAGTTACAGTGGAAATGAGTGCAGCAGGTACAAAAGATCAGGTTCACATGTGAAAGTCCAAATAAACTGATTTATAGTTAGGCAACATATGCACAGGAATCTTCTCAACTAATAGTACCTGCTTGGAGTCAGATAACGGTCAATGGAATTCAAGGGGGGGGGGGTTAAACTTAGTCAGTTTATGGCTATATAGAGATTCTAGATTGATACCTCTTTTAACTTCACCCCAAGTTCTGCCACTCCTTCTCCTACAACAGGTTAGGGATAGATTGTCATGGAGAAGCTCTATCTATGTGGCTTCTAAGAGTAAAAAAAAAAAGACTTTAGTCCAAACATGCAGTTAAAACCCTATTATCAGTGGTGGGATTCAGCCAGTTGGCACCAGTTCGGCAGAACCGGTAGCTAATTTTTTGTTGTTCAGGCCCAGAATGGACTTCCGGAAGCGGCATCCACACAGAGAACCGGTTGTTCACATATTTGAATCCCACCACTACCTATTTGGTCCATTTCTAGGTACAGTATCTTATGTAGAGTTCATAGGAGCTGCAATAGATTCAGAGAACGCAACTGGAATACACAATATAGAGTCTTCACTAGGGTTTACCAGACATCTATGGAGCTCCATATTTAGTGGACATGCACATTAGCTGCACAACAGTTGACCTGGTTCCTAGTTCAGTTAGCTCTGGAAGATAAAAAACAGTATTAATAAGGACTTGCTGATAGAAATGATTTCCTGATTCTTTCAGTAGGAATAATAAGATTATGTTTGCCACAGCTTTTAGCTGATCTGGAAAACAGCCCCATGTTTACGACGGATCTTCAGTGCCAGAAACTCTTAATGGAAGCAATGAAATACCACCTGTTACCAGAAAGGAGATCCATGATGCAAAGTCCTCGGACAAAGCCCAGGAAGTCCACCGTTGGTTCTCTCTATGCTGTGGGAGGCATGGATGCCACCAAAGGTAAAGTCCGCTGTCTGATGAGGTGGCTTCTGAGATTATATGGAGCTCAGATCAGGATAAGTTAGCTGACTTCTACAATGTCACTGAACCAGTTGTATGAAATGTGGGATCTGAATGCTACATGTAGTCTATCAAACTTGCTTTGATGATCCCAAGATTCCCACAATGTCTTGCCTTTAGAGATGGTGGTTAAGTGGGGATTAGGAGGAAGGGGGGAGGAGAGGGAAAAGGAGGAGGAGCAGGCCTGTCATATCCTTGTGCTGTCTGAGCTTGTTTGTTTTCTTGCAGACATTTCATTGCCAAACTAAGTAACATAATCAGTGCTAGAATGGAGTGGCATCTACAGGGAGGAGGAGGAGGAAGGGAGGAGGGGGAGGAGGAAGAGAGAGAGGGGAAGAGGACAGAGAGAAAGGGAGATTTGGATTTCAATTTCCTCTTGTAGAAATGTTAGCCTCACACTTACAGGAAACCACCTTAGAAAAGCAATTTTTGAAACAGGTGGCTGCTGCGGAAATAGTTGTAAAACTGAATGTCTGCACTGATTTCAAGCAGGGCGTTTGGCCACCCCCTTTCATTTTATTATGCCAGATGAATATCAATATTATACAGATGTACTGGATCGCCAACTTCTAAATTGAAAAGCATGGTGCTTTACATTCTGTAGATTAATATTTAAAAAAAAAGATCGCATTGCAATCCTTGCAAAATCATAATGGCCATAGGATATATCAAAGCTGAAGTTATGGTCCTTAAAATCCATACCGAGCGCCTTGCCTTTCAAATCGGAAAGAGGGGAGTGGAGTAATTTCAAATTTCATAGGTATAAATAGGGCATTCTGCTTTCCTGTGGCAGGTTGCAGTATCCTACGGTGCCCAACTGCTTTTTTTAAAAAACACAAATGTATTCTAATTTTAAAGCATCGGGGAAAATGAAAGAGGAATAGACAGATGTCTTTGCTTTTGAAATATATAGCTCTTCTTTCTGAAAAAAGATGGAAGGATGTATTTTAGATGTTACTCCCAGGAACGCTTGAAAAATTTTGATCTTTTGCAAATTCTAGTAGGAAATTGATCGGTTAGACAACAACCAGGTGAAATAATTCAGCTTTCCCCCGAGTTTTAAGAGTGTTTCACCACAATGCTTGGCTCAGAAAAATGAAAATAAAAAAGGGGTAGAAAATCCCTTAAATGTTCACATTCCGATACAATTTTTCCATGCAGATTTTAAAAGAAGCAAAGCACCCTTTAGAGCAGTGGTTCTCAACCTTTTTAATGCTGTGACCCCCAACCGGTCGTAAGTCGAGGACTACTCAACTGGTGCAGCCCATTTGCAGAATGGGACTTTTGGCGGGCTCAGCCGGGCAGAGACAGCCTGGACAATTCCTATTGGCTTTTGAAAGCCGATAGAATTAGACTCCATTCAAGAGAGTCTATTCTATTGGCTTTCAAAAGCCAATAGAATAAAAGGGAGTAGCATAGCTAAGGAAAAGGGGAAAAAATGGCAGACTGCTTTGTTTGGTGACCCCCGTGAAATGGTCGTTCGACCCCAAATGGGGTCCCAACCCACAGGTGGAGAACCACTGCTTTAGAGCTATCGTTTTAGTCAGACGGAAATCCTAGCAACTAGGAAGGTGTTCTTCAAAATCATACTTTTAGTCTGATGCCAATATATGCAGATTAAAATAATGTACTATTGAATGAAACCATTACAATTAAATCAACTGATTAAGGAATCAGTAGGAATGTGATTTCCCTTTTTTCGGCTACTGCTACTTTTCTATTTATCTTTCCAACAGGCACCACCACCATCGAGAAATATGACTTGAGAACCAACAGCTGGATACAGATTGGAACGATGAGTGGAAGGCGGCTGCAATTTGGTGTGGCTGTGATTGACAACAAGCTCTACATTGTGGGAGGAAGAGATGGCTTGAGGACATCAAATACCGTTGAATGTTTCAACCCAACAACTAAAGTCTGGACTGTGATGCCCCCCATGTCAACCCATAGGCATGGCTTAGGTAGGATGGACAGAACCGAGATTCATGAGGAAGTATAGTGAGATATAGATAGATAGTCCTCAACTTACAAGCATTCATTTAGTGGTGGAAATTACGACACTGAAAAAAGTGACTTTTGACTGGTCTTCACACTTATGACCATTGCAGCTTCTTGATAAAAATTTGGGCACTTGGTAACTGCCATGTATTCATGATGGGTACAGCATCCTGGGGTCACCTGATCGTCATTTGGGATCTTCCCAGCTGGCTCCCAACAAGTCAGTGAGGGAAGCTGGATTTGCGAAAGGAATCCATGCGATTCATTTAACAACTGCAGTGATTTACTTACCAACCATGGCCAAAAAAAGGTCATAAAATCAAGTGTGGCTCACGTAATAACCGCCTTGCTTAGCAACAGAATGTTGGTCCCAATTGTTGGACATTAATCAAGGGCTACCTGCAGAAATGAAACCATTGGTGTGTAAGGATCTGCACCAATATGGCATTCCCATTTCTAGTCCCAGTTGTGGTTTTAAGTTCAGAACAACCTGTGTGTGTATGTGTGTGTGTGTGTGTGAGAGAGAGAGAGAGAGAGAGAGACAGACAGACAGACAGACGGACGGACAGACAGACAGACATCAAGGTTAAGATTTTGACTTCTGATTTAGTATAAGCTTCAGCTATTCATGCAGGCCTGAATGTATTGAGATGAGCTTACAAGAAAAACCAGAACTCAAGAAGAGTTAGTAATATTTACTGAAGAAAGTTAGGAAGCTGTAACCCAAGTATTTCATATCTTCAGTGCTCCAAGAGTTACCCTACTTATAAAAAGGTGGTTCACCCCATTTTTATGTTCCTTATTCTTACCATGTCATGGCATTGACTCCTTCTCCTGAGTGGACGGTCAAATTTCTTCTTGCTTTTAACTGATCACGTGAGAAGTACATCTGGCATCAATGAGTGGCCGGACAAATAATTAAGATTTTGGATTTTGACTTGGAACTGGCTAATAGTTAAGATGTTTGTGGATGCACGTCATTCACTATTGTAGAGCTGGTGCCTTCTTAAACAAGTGTGCACTGTGGTTCTAAACCCAATATTATCTATTGACCTGTTGTGCATGTTTCATCCTAAGGGGTAGCAATGCTTGAAGGACCCATGTATGCTGTTGGGGGCCATGATGGATGGAGCTATCTAAACACAGTTGAACGATGGGACCCCCAGGCTCGGCAGTGGAATTACGTGGCAAGCATGTCAACTCCAAGGAGTACTGTGGGAGTTGCAGCTTTGAATAGCAAGTACGTGTGGCGAATTTTCTCTTTAATCAGCAATGCATAGGCTGTTCTTAGTTTAATATCCCTTTGAGCAGTCCCCCTACTCACGATGACTCATTTAATTCTGCCTCCAGCTCTGCCTTCTCTTTTCCTACAGTTAACTCTGTGAGTGTTGTCCTCATGTGGTTTATTGCCATAGGTTGTATGCAGTTGGAGGGCGTGATGGAAGCTCCTGCTTGAAATCCATGGAGTGTTTTGATCCCCACACGAACAAATGGAGCATCTGTAATCCAATGTCCAAAAGACGTGGAGGAGTTGGCGTAGCAACCTACAATGGGTTTCTCTATGCTGTGGGAGGCCATGATGCCCCTGCTTCGAATCACTGTTCTCGGCTTTCTGATTGTGTAGAAAGGTATGAGCTAAAGATAGAAAAATATAGGTGTGGGAATTGGGATTGGGCTATGTGATGTTTCTGTTCAGTGATGGGATTCAGCCGGTTCGCATCAGTTCAACAGAACCAGTAGTTAAATTTTGTTGAGTTTGGAGAACCAGCTGAATGCACACCACTTCCAGAAGTCCTTCTAGGCCTCCCATCCGTGCAGAGAATGATTTGAATCTCACCACCGTATCTGTTGGATCTCAACCGATACTGGTCTTATTAAGTTTCTAAATAAATCTACAGTTTAATGAAGCAATGACCAGCTGAGCCACATTCAAGGGAATAGAAAATGAGTAGAACCATCCTATTGTATCAAATTTACATATATTTTTCTTAAAACAAAGCCAATGGTTTGACATGAAACCAATTGTCCTCCTCTGTCTCCTATACTTAAAAAGGCTTTTTAGCTAACTATAAATAATGGCTTTGCTATAATAAGTTCTCACACTTCTTTCAAGAGTTTGGAAAGACTCCTAAATTGTGACTGATTAAAATATGCAAACATATTAAATTAATGAGCAAGTAATTGCTAAGTTAGTCCATATCCCTAAATGGGATTGTGATTTAGAGCAGTCTGCTAAGAGATTTTTGCACTGTCTTGCAGATTTATCAGACATCTTTCAAGTAGAAATACCCAAATTTTTGCCACACCGCTCATAGAATATAACTAGCAACATTTTAGATTACGACTAGGCTATTAGTCTAGAAAGCCCTCTAGTGGTTGACAAAGAGATAATTGGATTTCCTATTTCCCCCCTCTATTAATAAAAAGAAGTATTCTACAATTTCTATTTAGGTTTCTGATGAAAATACTGGAGTAGTTTAGCCATTGCTTTATTCTTCTTTTTTAAAAAGTTTTTCACTTGAATCTACAACCCTGATATTCCCTGGTAGGTTTCTATCCATGTACTCACATAATCTGACCCTAGCAATTGAACTTTTGGTTCCAAATGTGATCATAAGTTAGGATTATCTCTGCTCTGGATAATGTGATTTATACTTTTGTGATTTTAAAACATTCTAATGATAATAAAATGGTGTTTCCCCCCCCCCCAAAGCCCATTTCCAAACTATATTTAGTTCAGTCACATGACCATGAGATGGGTGGTGGATAAATTTAATAAATAAAATAAATATCATCTCCCATTTAACAGAGGAGCACTCCTATCACAATTCTTTGATACAATACTTTTGTTTTGATCAATCTCCCTTTTGTGACTTTCTAAGAAAGGCTATCTAAGCCAGGCATGTCAAACTGACAACGTCACGTGACGTCATGCAACGTATCTGGACTTTTTCCCCATTGCTGGCAATGGGGTGGGTGTGGTTTTGGAGTGACGCATCCGGCCCACAAGCCGGCAGTTTGGCATGCCTGATCTAAGCCAACTATCAAAATGAAGCCAGAAGGAAAATTATAACCATGAGCTAATGCATCTGAGATACTTTGAAAAACCTCCATAGCTTATATCTGAGGTAAAATACAAGAAGGGGATAGATAACTTAGTTTAGTAATAGCCATAAAAGCAAAGGTTTTGCCTTTCTCCTTGAAGTTAGCATCTGTTAACATTGTCTTATAATATTTTAGGTATGATCCCAAAACTGATACTTGGACCACTGTAGCACCTTTGAGTGTTCCTCGCGACGCTGTTGGGATTTGTACCCTCGGAGATAGATTGTATGCCGTCGGTGGCTACGACGGGCACACCTATTTGAACACAGTAGAATCTTATGACACACAAAACAATGAATGGACAGAGGTAATTCCTTAGTTACTGTATCTCTACCCTGATTGCTTAGTTGTATCCCTCTCACGGTGGGCACGACAGTTCAGAAGTTAAAGCTGAGCATCTGCGTTTAAGTTCTGAGTGCTATGGGATGGGGTGAGCTCCCGTCCCTTGCCCCAGCTCCTGTCCACTTAGCAGTTTGAAAGCGTGCAAACGAATAAGTAAATAAAATCATGTTGACACCTCAAACTTTTGCTAAAGGACAAGGATCTAAGCCAGGCCTTCTCTGTTTTATAGGAAGTGCCAGTCAACGTCGGAAGAGCCGGTGCCTGTGTCGTAGTTGTGAAACTTCCATGATGATCGTCTTTAGGTGTGAGTACATAGCCAAGCACAGCTCTACAAAGCAACCCTGACCGAAGGGAAGAGCTTGTATTCTTGAACAGAAACACTTTTCATGCTGCTTTCATTTCAGAAGAAGCGACAGGGCCGCGTTAATGGGAAACCAAAGTATGCGGATAACAATTTCTTGAATTCCGAAGACGGGCTCTGCAGGTGTCCCATCATCATGCTGATGGACACCACAGTTCAGAGGGCAGTGCTGGGTACATCAAGTGCTTTTATTTCATTCTTTTTATTTTAAAGAGAACAAGACATCTACCTTGAGATAGTCCCATTTCTGTGTCGGGAACAGCCAACGTGCTTTACAACATGAGCGGCACACTTTGGCATAGAATTTCTTACTTTGAAACCTTCTATTTGGCACAAAGAAACAGGCAGATGGCCACTTTGAATCCTGAACTTTGAACCCTTCATTGCTGGAAAAGTTGTTCCTGGCTTATCCTAGACAGCTGGATTTTAGGAACCCTTTGATTTTTTCCACAGTGCCACTGATTTTGAGGCACGATTGGGCTTTGTAGAGAATGAAAAGAGCTGATTAAAATATAGATGATTTGGCATCTGATCATCCACAACAAGACAGGTTCACTGATGGATGAGAAACCACTAGAAGACTTTTTGACCAGGACTTTTTTTAAAAAAAGGTTTTGGTGGCAATCTTCCTCTCTGGACTCCTGAGGCCATCAAAACTGAAGGTTCCTGAATTCCCTTTTCACTGGTTGTAAGACCAGATCTTCTTTTGCCATTCCCAAGATCAAATTGTGAGTCAAAAGTTTGTGATTTCAAGAGCGTTTTGCTGGGTAAAAGAATGAGGAAAAAAACACTCCCTGCACACAATGAGCAACTTTTGACAGTTTTTCGATAGGCAGGGTGGGAAAAGACCCTGCAATTGTTGAGATAAAGTAATTTTCTGTACCTCAAAATAAACATGAGAGCAGTATCTGTACAATTCAGGCGGGCGGTTTCTTAAATTCCTAAACTCCAGATCAGACATGGTTATTATGATAGTGGCCCAGAGGCTTTTATTTTCTTAAAAGCCAGTTTAATGATCTAAAAACCTCCACAATGTGTAGATCTGTTCTGTTTTCTGTTTTCTTTTTCCTTCTTTTCCCAAGGTCACGGTGACATTCATATTATTTATTTTCGATCCTTTGGACATCGATGAGAACCTGGAACACATGTGCAAATGCAAACCTACACCTAATGATAGTTTGTAACTCAAGATATAGGCACAAATATATACAGTATGTTCAAGAGGGACAAAATCATAATTGCAAAAATAATAACAGAGCTTTGCAAGCAGCCTACATGCATAAACGCATACTTTGGGAGATATGTACCTGAAAAATATATCATGCAAATTCCCTTTGGATAAATATCTATTAAGTGAGGAAATGGGTCCGCTCGCTATTATTAGAATAAAAAAAATGAGGAGAAATTAAAAAAAAAATTGCATTAGCCAGACATATTTGGAATGATCTCACTGAAGAATTTCGCAATTAGTGCAAATATTTGCACCTTAAAAACCTTGCAGGGGAAACATCCTTGTTTTCCTTCTAAAAATAACAAAGTCTTTCAGGAAATTATGCAATTTGCAGCGGTGTCCATTTGTTGTGAAATGCTAGCTTACAATATGAAGACACTTTATATCTTGGATGGTATTGTAAATGTGGTTCCTTGAGCGGCGTGGTGGCCTAGTAGAGAAGATCTTCGCCTCCCATTCGGAAGGTTGAGAGTTTGATCCTAGGTAGTGGCAAATGTTTCTTTCCTAGGGCGACAAGAAAAAAATATTTGCTGTGAACTTCACATAGACATCAGGAAGGGCATCTGGCCAGTAAATGCTCAGCTCCACCCAGCCGACCCACCTGAATTAAAGAGCTAGGGTCATAAAAAGAAAAAGAAATGTAAATGTGGTTGTTTAGAACCAATGATTAGGCCATTTCTGAAAAACAAAGGAAAAAAGAGAGATTTCTAGGGCAGAATCAGAGCACAAGCAGCATTGATGTTCCAATTTTCACGTTGCCTTGGCTGGACCAATCCATTTATCAAATCCATTTTAAGCCATTTATCTTCCTCTGGAATAATCACTGCAGGTTAAGGCTCTGTTGCTGACAAGGCATTAATATGATCACTTTGATGGAATGAAATTTATACACAAACACACAAGATCATATTGATATGACTGTGACCTCAGCTATGGATTGCCAATCGAAAGACACGGTCAGGGAAATAAACTAGAAGAGAACTAAGAGTTCAGTTTATTGTCTTTATCTTCTAATGGGAAAAGTGCTAGCAGTGGATGGAAACTCAGCAAGGAGAGAAGCCACCCAAAACTAAGGAGAAATTTCCTGACCGTTAGAACAATAAACCAGTGGAATGACTGGCCTCCAGAAGTTGTGGGTGCTCCATCACTGGAAGTCTTCTTGAAGAGATTGGACAACCAATTGTCTGAAATGGTTTAGGGTTTCCTGCTTGAGCATGGGATTGGACTAGAAGACCTCCAATGTTGCCTTCCAACTCTCTTATTCTGTTAAATAAAAGAACAACTCAGTCATCACACTTGTGTTATAGGCTTGATTGGGATAGCACAATTATTTTAGAAAAATTGAGAGGAGGAGGAGGAGGAGGAAGAGGCTAAGAAAACCACCCAACTCAGAGGTCATCAAGGACCTCACAGTTCAACCTTGAGCTACAATATTCTCTTCTATCAGTATCAGGAGGACAAGAATTGTCTCCAGTTCTCCCAGTTGCAAACTCCTAAGTTAGAACCTCAACAGTGTTTGCAAATATTAATGTTTACATTTATGTCGAGATTAAAATATTGGTTCTCCTTGAAAAGGAAAACTGAAGCACTACGTGTGTCTCTGAGCAAAGTTCAGAGCTGAAGAGTCTCTGAAAAAAGTTTCATTTTTATGATTTCGTGTATTCTCATCGTAATAACAAGGAGATGTCACGTTGTTGAGAAGCAATGTTATCCCATTTAAAAACAAAGACAAACACTTTAAGAAGGTATGCTTTAACTATTCTTCAAACAGCATGTCTCTTTTTTCTTTGAAAAAATGTGGGCATGGTTTAAGAGGAAGAAAAAAGGAGATGTCAAAACAAAGACACAGATTTCCTCATCTTGCTAACACCTTCTTTCCAGAAATGCTCTTTATACTGTCTCATAATTTACAGGAATAGGGAGAAAAACATAAGCAAGGTCTATTTTGAGAGTTGAAAAGGCAAACTGGAGGGAATAGCACTAGCGCTTAGACTTATATACCGCTTCATAGTGCTTTACAACACTCTCTAGCAGTTTACAAAATCAGCATATTTGCCCCCAACATTCTGGGTCCTCATTTTACTCACCTTGGAAGGAAGGAAGGAAAGAAGGAAGGGAGGAAGGAAGGAAGGAAGGAAGGAAGGGAGGAAGGAAGGAAGGAAGGAAGGAAGGAAGGAAGGAAGAGTAATAGCACTAGTACTTAGACTTATATACCGCTTCACAGTGCTTTACAGCCCTCTCTAAGCAGTTTATAGAATCAGCATATTTCCCTCAACAATCTGGGTCCTCGGAAGGATGGAAGGCTGAGTCAACCTTCTGGCTGAATGTAGAAACAGCCGATAGCCATTCCCAAATACAAATTATACAAATATGCTTACATTTGCATTTACTTGCAAGTGAAGGACAAAAATTGGTTTCAAAGTGGAGGGAGAAGTGTCCTTAGTCATCGGGGAATGCAAGAAGCCATTACAGGGAAAAGATTGGCTACAGATTGTTTGATCACACAAAGAAAGGACATGATGACCCCAGCTGAATTCCTTATCTCGCAAGTGATTGAACTTGCAGCTAAGAAACAAGGACACGGCCCTGTACTCTTAGATATTGGCTGACATTGCTTTCAGCTCCAAGGTCTGTTACATCTTCTTATTGTGCCAGATAATTAGTTCTTTTTAAAGCCCTTACAAGATTTTAGCTCATTGTGAGCTATGTGGGTATGTCTTCTTCTTCTTCTTCTTCTTCTTCTTCTTCTTCTTCTTCTTCTTCTTCTTCTTCTTCTTCTTCTTCTTCTTCTTCTTCTTCTTCTTCTTCTTCTTCTTCTTCTTCTTCTTCTTCTTCTTCTTCCTTCTTCTTCTTCTTCTTCTTCTTCTTCTTCTTCTTCTTCTTCTTCTTCTTCTTCTTCTTCTTCTTCTTCTTCTTCTTCCTACCTATCATCTATCTGTCTATCTATCTATCTATCTATCTATCTATCTATCTATCTATCTATCTATCTATCTATCTATCTATCTATCTTAGTATTCAAATGTACAGTACACCTTGTCCCAACACTGCAACATAAAACAGCACAGTCGACTGAAGCAAACCCAATTGTTACCACTGACACTACTGGGAAGAGTGTATTAAGGGTTGTTGTGTTGTTGTTTTGTTTTTGAGGTATTTGGTTTTTATTATTTTCCCAGAATATACAATACCCAGCAATTAAGTGAGCAGCTCTCAGTTTATACGGACATTACATGTGATCAGTGGCTTGAATGATCAAACAGCATTAATAATACATCGGACAAATATTTGGTGCAGCATTTGTTCAACCCAAATAAATAAAGGAAGAATTAGTCTGTCTGCCACAGGGAAGAACCGTTTTCTTTTCTTTTCTCAGCTAAAGTTTTCAATGGTGAGATGCCTTGGCTGCACGTGGTGAGCCTGTCACACAAAGAAGTTTGTTCTGAGAGTGTCTTCACACAGCAGGAGCCTATTTGCACAACAATGCAGACACTTTTGCACAGGCTCAAACCACTGCATAGAGGCAATCCTAGATTTATGGCCTGGAATTTTGAATACAAGTCGTCCTTGATGTACGGCAGTTTGTTTAATGACTGTTCAAAGTTACAACAGCACCGAAAAAAGTGACTTACGGCTATTTTTCACACTCCTGCAGCATCCCCAGGGTCGTGATCAAAATCCAGACACATGGCCATTGGCTCCCATTTATGACAGTCGCAGTGTCCCGGGGTCATGGGTTCCCCTTCTGTGACCTTCTGATAAGCAAAGTCAATGGGGAAGCTAGATTCCCCATTGCGGTTAATTTGGCCATAGGTCAAGGGCTACCTACATTAAGTGATATAGTCATTAAGAAGTCCTCACGTGACCCACAGAGAAGCACGCCAGCAACTCCAGGTTGGACATTGGTTAAAAGCTTAAAGGGGAGAGAAGAAGCAACACAGTGTTTCAAGTGAGGGAAACTCACAACTTCACTATCCCTCCTTGGAGATAACCCTTTTGTATGTCGTAGGCAGCCGAGCTTCTGTAGGATAAAGAGGAGTGAGCAAACTCTTAAAGCCCGTGGAAGCACTAAAGGTTTCCCCTGTCATCTTTGTTTCTTAGCCGAAGGAACCAGCATTGTCCGAAGACACTTCTGTGGTTATGACCAATAGTCCAAGATGCACAGAACGCTGTTACCTTTCCACCGAAGTGGTACCTATTTTTCTACTTCCATCTGCATGCTTTCAAATTGCAGGAGTTAAGGCAAGTAACGGGAGCTCACCCTGTCGTATGGCACCTAGGTCTCAAACCCTGGGCTGCCAAGTTTCTAAGCTCAGCGTAATTGTCACAGTTGCAACCATCCTGGCAATAAATGCATTGCTCACCAGATGGTGCTGTCTGATCGCCTTTAACAGAAGCGGCCAATTACCTTTTCGAGCTCTCCTGGAACAGCATACCAAAATAATAATAATAATAAATCCCCTTGCACAACTTCCTTGGGGTCCTTGTGATTTAATACCATCAAGGATTCATCTGCATGTCACAGCTTATTTGGCTAGCATGCTCACATTTCGCTACACTTATTTTGCGTGATCTCTCTCTCTCTCTCTCTCTCTTTCTCCTCTTTCTCTCTCTCCTCTCTCTCTCTCTCCTCTTTCTCTCTCTCCTCTCTCTCTCTCCTCTTTCTCTCTCTCCTCTCTCTCTCTCCTCTTTCTCTCTCTCCTCTCTCTCTCTCTCTCTCCTCTTTCTCTCTCTCCTCTCTCTCTTTCTCTCTTTCTCTCCTCTCTCTCTCCTCTCTCTCTCTTTTCTCTCTTTCTCTCCTCTCTCTCTCCTCTTTCTCTCTCTCCTCTCTCTCTCTCTTTTCTTTCTCTTTCTCTCCTCTCTCTCTCTCTCCTCTCTCTCTCTTTTCTCTCTTTCTCTCCTCTCTCTCTCTCTCCTCTCTCTCTCTCTTTTCTCTCTCTTTCTCTCTCCTCTCTCTCTCTTCTCTCTCTTTCTGTCCTCTCTCTCTCTCTCTCTCTCTCTCTCTCTCTCTCTCTTTCCCCCCCACTTCTCTCTCATTGCCAATTCTGAGCAGACCCCACTCCTAATTCCCCAGCTGGTGTTTGGGTTTGGTTCTTTCTATTTACTGGGCTAGCTTGTTGGATTAAAGCAATATGACAACAGTGTAAACAGAATATAAAGCAGGCCGGGCTGTGTGTGATTGGAATCAGAACTGACTCAACATTCATTTCATTTAATCATCTTTCCTCATGAGCAGCCACTATTTAGCATTTATTTAGAAACACCACGGCACTGGAGATGCGGATAATGTAAGATGGGAAATGGCTGAATGCTAAAATTAAAAGGGATTGAATGAAGCAACAAGTGAGCTTGGGAATATCTGGATGTATAATGTCATGCCATGCAATATAACACAGCACACATTATTTTTACATTGAGAGCTATGACTAAGGCACATTTCTCTGACTCAGGCTCATACAGTATCATGCATCTGAGAAGATGATAAGAGCAAAATGAAATCTCCTCCTACTGTTAACTATTCAGTTGTACCTTGCATGGTTCTGTTCTTCCTACAGCAAAAATATTTCAAAGCAGTGAATAAGAGTTAAGGAAAATAAATACGAGAAAGGAGAATATTTATAGTTCAGGGTTGAAATGAAGGGTCCTTGGTGCTCTCTGAGCTTTGTTGTTTTCTTGCAGACATTTCATGACCCAGCTAGGTAACATCACAGGTGCTAGAAAAGAGTGGGGTGTGTTGAGAGGAGGAGGAGGACTGTGAGGTTGTTGGTGCTGTCTGAACTTTGTTGTTCTCTTGCAGATGTTTCATGATCCGTGCAATGATGATGTTATCTAGTTTGGGTAGTGAAGTGTCTGCAAGAATGCTCAGCACCAAGCTCAGAGAGCATCAAGGACCCCTCAAATAAATAAAATAATATTAGCACTTAGACTCATATACTCCTTCACATTGCTTCACAGCCCTCTCTAAGCAGTTTACAGAGTCAGCCTATTGCCCTCAACAATCTGGGTCCTCATTTTACCCACCTCGGAAGGATGGAAGGCTGAGTCAACCAATATTCTTTGTTATGGCCATTGAGCAAATCACCCTGGCCGTTAAGCGAATCATTCAGTCGCTATGCAAATATGGCTTTCCCCATTTACTGATTGT